ACATTTTTATGGAAGGATAAACACTATCAAATCTTGTAGAGATCAGGTAGCTAAAGATGGTGATGAGGGTGTTGGGCCTGGTAATTAAAAGCCAACATTAACTATTAAGAGGACATTTCTACAAAGAATACCCTAGAATGAATTTAAAAATAGATGAAGAGTTGGAGGCAGTGAAGATTCTTTAAGAAATCAAGTTATGAAAGAAAACAGAAAATAGGTGGTATTTTGGTAAGAAAAACAGTCAATGGTTTGCTTTTAGCATGGGGCCCTTTCGAAAATCTTTGCAGACTGAGGGAAAGACATTAGCAAAGAAAGGCTTAAAGACTGTAGGCACAAGTAAAATTGACTGAACCAAGTCTTGGTGAAGACAGAAAAAAAAAAAAAAAAAAAAAAAAAAAGGAAGCAAAGATAGCTTTCTGCTGAAATACAGGAGTACAAAGTAGGGATAAAGGAAGAGATTTATAAATGCCCAGATGAAGGTTAAGGGGGTGGGAATTAGAGGAATCCAGTTCGATAATATCTATTTCTGTGGTCTGTAAAAGGAAAGATGAGCTTTAAGTATAAGTACAGGCATGTATTGCTTAATGATAGGAAATAAATTGAGACATATGTCATTAGACAGTATCATTGTGTGAACAGTATACTTACATAAACCTAGATAATATAGTCTTCTACACACCTAGGCTAAATGGTATATAGCCTATACAAACCTGTACAGCATCTTCCTGTACTGATAATGTAGGCAACTGTAACACAATCGTATTTGTGTATCTAAACATATTAAAGATATAGTAAAAATACTAAAAATACTGTATAAAAGATAAAAAAAGGTGCACTTATTATGAATAGAGCTTTTATGACTGGAAGTTGCTCTGAGTCAGTGAGTTGTGAATGTTAAGGCCTAGGACATTACTACACACTACTGTAGACTTTATAAACACTGTATACTTAGGTTACACTAAATATATTAAAAAAATATTTTTCTGGTTTGGTGTGGTGACTTGCACCTATAGTCCTAGCACTTGGGAGGCTAAGGTGGGAGGATTGCTTGATTGTTGATAAGGGTATTGGGCCTGGTAACTGCTTTACATGCATGTTTCAGTCCATTTTTATTTCTACACAAATTTTATTTATATAAAACTCAGGAGTTCAAGACTACAACAACCTATGATCCCACCACTGCACTCCAGCATGGGCATCACAGCTAGACTCTGTCTCTTAAAAAAAATTAAAATTAAAACCTAAAAATTTTATTTCCTCAATAATAAACTACATTAGCTTAAAGTAAGTTTTTTACTTTATAAACTTTACTTTTTTACTCTTTTGTAATAACACTGAGCTTAACACTCAAACATGCTGTACAAAAACATTTTCTTTATATCCTTATTCTATAATTTTTGTATTAATTTTTTAAATTTACTTTTAAAACTTTTTAGTTAAAAACTAAGCCACAGACACACACATTAGCCTAGACGTACACAGGGTCAGGATGATCAATTTTACTATCTTCTACCTCTGCATCTTGTCCCACTGGAAGGTGTTCAGGGGTAATAATGTACATAGAACTGTTATCTCCTATGGTAACAATGCCTTCTTCTGCAATACCTCCTGAAGGACCTGCCTGAGGTTAACAGTAACCTAAAAAAAAAAAAAAATATGTAAAGGAGTACACTCTAAAATATGATAAAATATAGTAAATACATAAAAAAGAAACATAGTTATTTATCACCAAGTATTATGTATTGTACTGACTGGCAATGCAGGTTAACAGCAGCATCATCATAAATATGTGACTATTACATTGCCCTGTGATATTATAATGGTTAAGATGTCACAAGGTGATAGGAATTTTTCAGCTCCATTATAATTTCATGGGGCCACCATTGTATACGTAGTCCATCGTTGACTAAAATGTTAAGTGGTGCATGAGTGTAGTCCACCTACCTTTCAGTTATTTTCCCTTTAAGACCTTCAACACACACTTTTATTGGTCCTTTTTATTGGCCTCTTCTCACTGGCTTTAGAGTACAGAACTAGAAAACTTTTTCATAGTCCTGCAACAATCTTCCATCTAATATCTCACAAATCACTAATTTCCTTTTCCCCCTCAATATGTATTTTGGAGAATCTTACTATAAAGACTCTGTAGGTTGGCCACTTACTGATATGAAGATGTAGGAGGACAAATACTTTCTCTTACCTAAATGAATGCCAAATAACTTCAGCAGTTGGTTCCTTCTATCCCATTTTTTTCTTATAAATGGAAACTCCACAAGAGCAATGACTGTGTTTTATATACCCTTTCAAGGTGTAGCGAATACTGGGAGTTTTTAATAAATAATAAATAGGAGTGAAATTCCCAAATAATAAAACAGACTATAACCCTATCAATTGCTGCTAGTGATGCAGAGGCTGCACTTAAAACTACCAAGGAAAAAAGAAGACATTCTTAACCATAATGTTCAGAAATGTAAGTTACATTTTGGTAAATCTTTTTCAGCAAAAGAATAGCACTATGTACTCACTGAGTATTTACTATATGCCCAGAATTGTGCTAACTGCTTTACATGCATGTCTCAGTCCATTTTTATTTCTACAAAGAATACCTAAGGCTGAGTAATTTACAAAGAAAAGAGATTTATTTCGCTCATGGTTTTCTAGGTCATACGAGAAGCATGGCACCATCAGCTCCTGGTGAGGGCTTCAGGGTGGATCCTCTTATGGCCAAAGGCAAAGGGGAGCTGGTGTGTAATCACAAGGCAAGAGAGGAAGCGAGAGAGAAGAGGGAGGAACCAGGTTCTTTTTAACAACCAGCTCTCTGGGAACTGATATAGCGAAAACAGTTGTTACTATGAGGACGGCATTAAGCCATTCATGAAGGACTCTTTCCCATGACCCGGACATCTTTTATTAGGTCCCATATCTAACACTGGAGGTTAAATTTCAACATGAGATTTGGAGGGGTCAAATAAACTATCTCCAAAATACAGCAGTGCATTATCTCATTTCATTCTTATAAGTTTCAGTTGATAAAAATTTATCTTCTATTTGATTCACAGAAACATGAGAAAGTACCAATAATATCCACATCTTAAAATGAAACAAATGAGCATTCAAGAGATTAAATAGGATGTCCAAGTTCATACATTCAGCTATTACATGCAGACCCGAATCCAAACCCTGTGTTTTCTGAGTCCCCAGTCAATAGTGTTATTCACAATACTACACACTCTTCTCCTCAACTTAGCACCTATAAGACTTGAATAATAATAGTTTTCCTTGTGAAATTATGAGGAATCATATCATTTGATGGCTTAATAATACAAATCTTCACCTGTGCAAGGCAGACAAGTATTATTGGTCAAAGCATAAAGATGGGGTTTAATGAACAGAAATAATTATTCAAGAATCAGAAATGGAGCATGTCCTCTTGCTTGATTTCAGCTTTGTAGTCTAACATTTGAGCAATGATATATTTGATAGGACAACTGCCAATGGTAGAAAACTTGTTCAGTATTTAAGGTAACATTACCAAAGAGACAATCTCCTGCTGTGAATATTGAAATATTAAATTTTCCTTACTTTGTTGCCTAATAATTTGGGCAGATTATAAGAGAAGGAAGTGAGGTGGTCAAAAAGTCAGTGAAAAGCTTTATAAACTATGACCATTGTATGTTGTGCAATTCTGCATTTTAAATGTTTTTTAAAATTTATGCTGTAACTAGACTTTAAAAAAATAATTTATATGTAAACTTTCTCTTAGCATTCCTGCAGATCATCCTGTGTTACCAAACATTAGCTGGAGATAGTAGCTATAAACAGATAAAATTTGAGAAAATAATATAAAAACAGTTGTGTTTATTATACAACCCAGCATCTTTAGAATAGTGTTGATTTTTACAAACCATGCTTCAATCTACATCAAACATATAACATTGTGGTTATGAGAAAAATATATCATTGATCAGAGTTTCAAATTTATATTTATCAAGCACCTCACAAAATTCTCTTTATGTTTAAATGCTTATCCCTCTCTATTATAGAATGCTGCTACACAAAAATATTAATTAGAATACTGAAGCAGTTATGAAAACTAAATAGAAAAATAATTGCAATACAATAAATTTTACAAAATTTTAACCAGAAGCAATTTTTAATTTAGTTTTTAATCTATTAAAAAGATTCTAACATGTAAGGCTTAGTTTGTCATGGTATGTGCCAAAATTACCTAATACTTCTTTTTCCAGAGATAAATTGAAACATAATTAATGTCACCTCAAATTTACATAACAATGTGAACAGAGAAGGAGAAGGGATGGTATATAAAATGAGGGAGAGTGGTTAGAAAGGTATTTTTTATTTTTTCCTAAATAGTTAGCTTCTAATATATGCTTCAGTATATACATGTATTTTTCTCTTTTTTAGCTATTAAGTCCCATTAAGAACTGTCCCATACTTTTTGAATGAGAGATTTCAAATGAAAGTAAAATTATTTTTTAAAAGTCTGCAGTACAGACTCATTATCTCTACTTCTTAAAAACAAAAATTAGAAACAAACATTTTAAAAACCTCTGGTACGTAATACTCTGCAAAGACTAAAGAAAATATGATTTTCAAATATTTGCAAGTGAATTTTAAGAAATATTAGTTCATTTCAAAAATCTAATTAGGCATACTGTATTCTTATAAACTACTGCTTGTAGCACAACAAATAGTTTACTACAAATGAATTTAAGCACAAATAATATATCATATACTACATGAAATAGAAAAGACATATAGATATAATTAGTGTCTTTCAAGAACACCTCTACAAACTTCAAAGAACATAGTAATTAATAAACAATTTCAAAAATAAAATAAAAATAGGGATATTATCTAAAAATTGTAGTTATTAAATTTTATTTCTTAAGTAAAGAACTAAAAACTGTTAAGAACTGATGTACTACACAATGACATTGATACTATGTTAAAATGATTCATAGAAGGCAGTCAAGACAGAGATTCAGAACTATTTTATTAGAAAAGTAATGCGCATTCATAGCAACGTTAGCTTTTATTTCTGTGTACTCTATGAACTTCCTAAAACCATTCTCCAAAGCTAACCATTTAAAACTCATTCATGTATTTTATTATGCATCCTACAACAAAGACTAAGAAGCAGGCAAGAATTACTATAAAACACAGTCTAATTACAGAAAAGTTAATTTATTTTTACAAGAAAACATTTTGAAACCAATTTTGTGTTTGTTGAAGGATTTTTTCATGCACATTATTCAAGATTTTTTTCTGTCAGACTATTAGTTTCCTAGGATTGCTATAACAAATTACCACAAACTGGGTACCTTAAAAGAGCAGAAATATATTCTCTCACTGTTCTGGATGCTAGAAGTGCAAAACCATGTTAGTAGGGTTGGCAACTACTGGAACTTTGAGGGAGAATCTATTCCACGCCTTTTTCCTATCTTCTGAGGGTTCCCACAATGTATCACTCCAATCTCTGCCTCCAGCATCATGTGGCATTCTCCCCTGTGTCTCTATCTTTTCTTTCATTCTTTTTTTGTTTTTGTTTTTTTTTTGAGACAGAGTCTCGTTCCGTTGCTCAGAGTGGAGTGCAGTGGTGTGACCTTGCAACCTCCACCTCCCGGGTTCCAGTGATTCTTGTGCCTCAGACTCCTGGGTAGCTGAGATTACAGGCACACACCACCATGCCTGGCTAATTATATTTTTAGTAGAGATGGGTTTTCGCCATGTTGGCCTGGCTGCTCTTGAACTCCTGAGCCTCAAGCGATTTGCCTGGCTTGGCCTCCCAAAGTGCTGGGACTACAGGCATGAGACACCATGCCCGACCTATCTTCTCTTATAAAGGACATGAGTCATGTTGGATTAAGGGCTTGCCCTGCTCCAATATGACCTCATCTTAGCTACTTGCAACCACAATCACAGTATTTTCAAATAAGGTCACATTCTGAGGCTCCAGGAAGTAGATGAATTTTGGGGATGACACTGTTCAACCCAGTACCTTCAGTTTCTATTTAACATAAAAAATAATTCCCATACTATACTGGATGAAAAAAATGACTTAAGAAATAGGTGAAAGATTGTTGAACATACAAATATGATCTTTTATTTTCCAATCACATACAGAGATAAGAATTTTTGGGGAATATGTCTCAATCACAAACACGTATTATATGCAAAGAGAAATTTATTGTTCAAGTAGGATTCAGGGAATTAACCTAGGTGCATTCTCTTGTTTCTCTTTCAACCATATTGTTCTCCAGACTTTTTTTCGAATTCTGATTTCCCTGTAGGATTGTTCAGATTTAAATAAGCCTGTAAAGCAGAAGTAGTAAACAAGCCTGGGTACTAAAGTTAAATATTACAGAGGTAGATAAAATAAGTCTGAGGAAAATTCATGTATTTAATTCTTATCTATTTTGCCCGTGCAGTTATGCTGATATTTCATTCACTTGGATTCACCAACCAAAAATTTTTAACTATAGTGGAGAATCTTTTTTCTGTATTTGAAAAAAGTGCACTGAGCAAATTAATAGTATAAATATTATTTCAAGGATAACTATTTAAGAGAATATTTATTTCTATGTACGGTTAATCAACATGCCCCCTTCCATACCCCATGTGCCCTTTGACTAATTATCTCCAACTCATCTTTCAGGTCACAATTCAAGTATCATGTTCTCATACCTCATTTCTGACAATGGATGAAATCCTTACTAGATGCTCTTACAGTACCATATACGACCTGTTTGTAGTATTTACCACTGTGTCCATTTTATATTGATTTTTGTGGTTATAACTAACATAATTTTCCTCTACTAAACTCTATAGGACATGTATTGTGGGCCATGTATATTGTACTTACCTTTGCTTTTCTAATGACAAGTGCAATACTTGCTGAATTACTGAATAAATCAGAAGTATATATTACTATAAAAAGTTGACATGTGAATTATGAATCAATCTCATCAATTTGTTAAAGAATCTTCTACCAAGTACTCTTTTCTTAAATAAACTTATACCCTTATTACAGTTATAATATCTTTGTAACAACATTAAGGGAGCATTGATTTTATTATATTAAATAGATAGTTTTCTATTTCAAATAGACTGGCTGAATTATTTTGATTAGCTCAATTAAAAAATACAAGATTGTAATAAGAGACTTTATTACTTACAAAAGGCATTGTGAGCTATTATTAAAATAAATACAATTGACATGAAATATAAGTTTTGTGAAACAACTCTTTGTAAGGATTTTACATGTTTACCTTGAGATATACAAACAAAATGGCCCATATCATACGGAAAAATCCCTTTAAAATAATAGACTATAATTTGAAAGATGAAATTTTATCAATATAACACATATTTAAACTAATATTTTAAAATTTAAAATTTGTAAAAAGCGTACATTTGAGAAAGCTATAGTAATTATTCACAAGTAAGGACATTAAAATTCATTCCATAATCATCATTATTTGAGCCAGAGAAAGACTGATGCAAATTGGAATATCTAAATTCAAAATTTAGGACATGCAGATATGATTATAATATCTTTCTCTTTGGCAGCTTGAGTTTACATATTTAAATAAACCCAACTATTATTTTTTAAAAATGTTCCTGGCCAGAGGAAGGATTGCATTTCAAGAATCCAATATGATGCAAAGATTAACACATATTTCCAGTCTTGAGGTGCTGCTGCTCCCTGAGTGTAACTTTCTCTGTCATGTATTTCCTACAGTTTCTTTTTGAGGGAAAAAAAAATGCTAAATGCTATCAATTTTCAGACTGTCCCACACTTAAACCTGTATCAAGACATTCAGGAACACAACATGAGTAAAGATTAGAGAAATTGTGAGAAAAAATTTGAAGAATAAGATGATTATAACTTATAATTTGACAGCTGCTCTAAGCTTGGCTGAGCGCCCTCTGGGGTTATCTTGTACATCCTGATCTTGTGGACTAAGTACCTTCTTGTGTATCAATTCCCACATTAAAGGAGCTCTTCTCATAGAGACTTCTTCTGTGTTTTCGTGACCAGAACCCAACTGCGATGTTTTCATCACTTGCTGTCTAACACTTAGGTTAAATCTTTCTGTCATGCTTATTCCAAGCAAAAATCTTTTGATGATGCGATCCTCTAGTGAATGGAAGGAGAGGGCAACAAGACGGCCACCAGGTCTCAGAAACTTCTGAGCTGTCTTCAGTCCTGTGTAGAGTTCATTGAGCTCATTGTTCACAAATATGCGAAGAGCCTGGAAAGTCTTGGTGGCAATATGGGTAGATCGCTGTAGTAAGTCTTTCCGTGCATAAATAGCAGAGGGAGGAAATGCACCTAGGAACACATTTTGTAAAGACAGGAAAAGAAGACCAGTAATATTAATATTTTTCATATTTAGTGAACTAAGTTTTCTTAGAAAATTGTGGTGGCATTTCATTCATACTTTCCCCTATTATTCCCAAGCATTCTTCCAAGGTTTAAAACTATGTGGCAAAAAAAAACCTTTCATAACTCATAAGGATAATTGGAATTTAATAAGGAGCACAGAAAGAGAAATGGTGGACACATATTTAAAGAAATGGTAACAAAATCCTTCTCAAATTTGGTGAAAAACATTAACTCAAAGATGGCTCAATGAACCACAAATATAATAAACAAAAAAAGGCTGCACATAGGCACATCATAAAACTACTATAGCCAAAGATAAAAACAAAAAAAAATCATGCCAACAGAAAAGAAAATTCATTACATAAAGAGGAACAAAAATATTATTAACAGCTAAATTTTTATGAGCACACTGGAGGCCAGAGGATAGTGGAATAACATAAACAGTGTTGAGAAGAAAACTGTTTACCATGAAGGCTAAGTCTACTAAGATATTTATTCAAAAATAAAGGTTCGAAGACATTTTAAAAGAAATAAAAAGTGAGACAATCCACTGTGAACAGGTCTGCATTCAAAAAATTGAAAGGAAATACATTAAGCTGAAATAAAATGAGGGCAGGTGATCATTTGGATACACAGATGAGAATGAAGTGATAAGGCCATAGGTGTAAAACATTTTTGAAATAAATTAAAGACTTATATAAATGGAAAACTACTGAATGTTCAAAGATCGGAACACTTAACTACTGTATGTTCAAAGATTGGAAGATGGCAATACTACCCAAACTGATCTAAGATTCAACGTAATCCCTATCAGAATTCCAGCTGACTTCTTTGTACAAATTAACAAGCTGATTTTAAAATTCATATGAAATTACAAGGCATCCAGAACAGCCCAAATAATCTTGGAAAAAAAAGAATAAAGTAGCAGGACTTACATTTATGAATTTGAAAGCTTACTACAAAGCAATGATAAGACAGTGTGGTACTGGCAAAGCAGCAGATATAGAGAAAAACAGAACGTAATTGAGAGTCAAGAAATAAACCCATACCTATACAGTCAACTAATGTTTGACAAGAGTGCCAAGACCATTCAATTGGGAAAAGTCTTTTGAACAAACAATGCTGAGAAAATTGGATAGCCACATGTAAAAGAATGTAATTAGACTCTTACATCACATACAAAAACAAACTCAAAATGGATCAAAGACCTAACTGTAAAAGTACAAAGTATAAAAATCTTAGAATAAAACATAAGGCTAAATCTTCATGACTTTGAATGTTGCAAAAGATTCTTACATATGACACCAAAATTGTGAACAACAAAAGAAAAATATAGATAAATTGGACTTCATCAAAATTAAAAACTTTTCTCATTCAAATGACACCATCAAGAAATGAAAGACAAGTCAGAGAATGGGAAAATATTTGCAAATCATAAGTCTAATAAGGGACATATATCTAGAATATATAAAAGAAGTAAACTGCAGAATACATGTATATTATTTATATCATATTTTAAAACATGCATATCAAAATAGATATGTTCCATCTACTTCAATAATTGAGATAAGCAAAATTTACTAATTTCTAAATAAACCCATAAATATAATTTTCCTTAAGCTTATAACCACTGGCACACAAACAAGATATTAAAGTATAATGTTCAATAGATTTATACACAAATTTTTCCTTGATTTTGAACCATATTCCTGAAGAGTATTATCCCGTAGAGAAGCAATGTTTCTAGTACAAATTTGTTCTTAATGAACATCTCAGAAGATAACTTCAATCTTGGCATTTTAATCTCCTTAGCATGTTTCTTAAAGAAAAGTTAATTATACAAGGCAGGCACCTTAGTTCACATTTCAGTAATCTGAACACCTAGTAGTAAAGTTCAGACATAGCAGATTAATCTTCTATGGGAACTAAATCAGAGAAGGAGAGAAATCTTGCATGTATCAGAGAACTGAGAACCTGGTGGTTTAAAGTAAACCAAATTGGTGTGATGGTTCTCTCTTTCCTCTACAAGAATTACTTTGCCAAAAGTGTAGAGAATGTTAGACACTAGGGGATTTATCTTCCAACAACGAGGTCTCTCAGGAACATGAAGTCAACATCAAAACTGAAGAGGAAGGTCAGCTTCTTACCACTTGCTATTCAATTCCTCCATTTTCCTGATAGAGTATGGGTCACTGGGAAATGTGTTTCAGAGTATTCTAAGAATCTGAACAAACATGCAACTATTTACATTTTGAAGCCTGGACTCAGAGGAAGTGTCAGAAAGTTTGCATTCCTTTTTTTATTTATTTACTGTTATTTTTATTATACTTTAAGTTCTAGGGTACATGTGCACAATGTGCAGGTTTGTTACATATGTATATATGTGCCACGTTGGTGTACTGCACCCATTAACTCATCATTTACATTAGGTATATCTCCTAATACTATCCCTCCGCCATCTCCGCACCCCACGACAGACCCTGGTGTGTGATGTTCCCCTTCCTGTGTCCAAGTGTTCTCATTGTTCAATTCCCACCTATGAGTGAGAACATGCGGTGTTTGGTTTTCTGTTCTTGCGATAGTTTGCTGAGAATGACGGTTGCCAGCAGCATCCATGTCCCTACAAAAGACAAGAACTCATCCTTTTTTATGGCTGTATAGTATTCCGTGGTGTATACGTGCCACATTTTCTTAATCCAGTCTGTCACTGATGGACATTTGCGTTGGTTCCAAGTCTTTGCTATTGGGATTAGTGCCACAATAAACATACCTGTACATGTGTCTTTATAGCAGCATGATTTATAATCCTTCGGGTATATACCCAGTAATGGGATGGCTGGGTCAAATGGTATTTCTAGTTCTAGATCCTTGAGGAATTGCCACACTGTCTTCCACAATGGTTGAACTAGTTTACAGTCCCACCAACAGTGTAAAAGTGTTCCTATTCCTCCACATCCTCTCCAGCACCTGTTGTTTCTGACTTTTTAATGATCGCCATTCTAACTGGTGTGAGATGCTATCTCATTGTGGTTTTGATTTGCATTTCTCTGATGGCCAGTGATGATAAGCATTTTTTCATGTGTCTGTTGGCTGCATAAATGTCTTCTTTTGAGAAGTGTCTGTTCATATCCTTCACCCATTTTTTGATGGGGTTGTCTTTTTGTTGTAAATTTGTTTGAGTTCTTTGTAGGTTCTGGATATTAGCCCTCTGTCAGATAAGCAGATTGCAAAACTTTTCTCCCATTCTGTAGGTTGCCTATTCACTCTGATAGTAGTTTCTTTTGCTGCGCAGAACCTCTTCAGTTTAATTAGATCCCATTTGTTAATTGTGTTTTTGTTGCCATTGCTTTTGGTGTTTTACACATGAAGTACTTGCTCATGCCTATGTCCTGAATGGTATTGCCTAGGTTTTCCTCTCGGGCTTTTATGGTTTTAGGTCTAACATTTTAGTCTCTAATCCATCTTGAATTAATTTTTGTATAAGGTGTAAGGAAGGGATCCAGTTTCAGCTTTCTACATATGGCTAGCCAGTTTTCCCAGCACCATTTATTAAATAGGGAATCCTTTCCCCATTTCTTGTTTTTGTCAGGTTTGTCAAAGATCAGATCGTTGTAGATGTGTGGTATTATTTCTGGGGACTCTGTTCTGTTCCATTGGTCTATATCTCCGTCTTGGTACCAGCTGCATTCTTGAAGACCTTGCATGATTCAAATTTTACATAATTCTAAACTACTTTTCTCAAAGAAGAAATGTAATATAAAATACATTTTAATGTACATATATTTTCATATAAAATAGGAAGTAAACATTCATGGAGCACATAAATCAATAAGTACTGTAGGGTATTTTTGCTATATATATACTTTTTAAATTTCTTAGCATTATCTCTAACATTTTGCAGAAATTAAAAGCATGGTTCAACATAACTGCTTAACTTTCTTGACATTTTAATGCAGAATTTCTTAATTCATAAAATAATAGAAAGGCAGAAAGCTCAATAAATGTTTGCATACTATTGTCAGTAAATATGTTTTTTAAAATTAATGAAAATGGAATGTTTCATAACAAAACCAAAAAAACAACAAAAAATGTCTGAAATCACCACGTAGTTCTAATATAAACAACAGCATTGGTTAATTTGACATTAAAGTTTGTTAGACATTTTGGCTTACTAGCTAAAATAGCACCTTCTTGTGGCAGAAGGATGGACATAATTTATAATTCATTTAGTTAGCTAGCTGTGAAACTATGACATTCCTAATTCCTTTCATTTGATGAAATCTATTTTCAAAGCATTCACCCAAAGTGAGATTTTATTAGTATTGTATATTACACAATTTCAAGTTTATATAAATCATGTTCACATTAAGTATATCCCCTAGAATATATGAATCTGCAGCTGACAAAACCACTGCAATCAGACAAGCTTTTCTTTATAAGATCTAATTTGGCCTTGCCAATGTCATAAAGTCATGCAGAATGGACATAGCAACTCTCAGCTATATTTGGGAATAGATGGTCTTCAGGATAAGAGGGGAACCTTAATTTATGAAGCTTTCCTTCTGGGGCCTTCTTACTCTTATTTGGGGAATTCTGACCTGGATTATGTCTGATGGATTTCCTGGAAGATATTTCTAGATGTGGTCTTGTCAACCTCGCTAAATCTCATCTTTAGGGACCAAGAGATGACAAGAGGTCTGCAATGAGCAATGTGTTTTGTGGAGCTTTTTCGGTACTTCTCTGGGGAGATCAAAGGCACATATCTTCCCTTATTTTAGATAGGTTAAATTTCCAGGGCCATCTTTCCTTTATAATGGTACCTCATGTCTCTAATTTTTAGGAAGAAAGGTTGTCAAAGCAGATCGTGTAAAATGAAATTAAAAAGAAACAAAAGAATATAAACAGCATATGATGCCGGGCACGATGGCTCATGCTTGTAATCCCTT